ATACACATACAGCACATATATATACAAAAAATGTGTTATGGTATGGTAAGTAAAAGCTTTTTAGAACCATAAGTTCTGTTCCTGGTGGATTCTATGTTTTTGTTATTGTCTTGTACAGTTTATTATAGTCCAGTTTGAAACGGTAAAAAGTAAAAGTCATTTTATTAAATAATGAATTTCAAATCTTCACATTGTAGATGTGGAAGCGGAAATGATCAATAAAAAAAAAGTGCAAATAAAGGATAAAAAGAAAAAAATTGGCTTTTTTATAATTTTAACCTCAAAGTGTTGCTGTTGGGAGATTTGTTTTATAAAATGAAAAAGCTCGTATAGAACTAGAGGAATTTCATAGCTTAAGGAAATAAAAAAAAGTGTGTATCAAAAAGAGAGAGAAACACAAAGGTTCCCGGGCTGGTACAGTGCATTATTCAGAATGTGCATGAGAGTTCAAACCTAGCAATTGAGTTATACGAAACATACCTTTATTTGGAGCTTTACTTTTAATTTACGTACAGGCCAAGCTGTACAGCAAAAGTAACAGCAGCAAAAGCTGGGAAAATCTATAACACCGTCTGTATTGTAGTTGTCCTTGTCACTTCTGCTGCACAGCTGGGCCTACTTGTAAATAAAGAGAAATATATAAATGAAGGATGTTTAATTTAAAGTATTTCTAATAAAAATATGATCAGTATGTGCACTATTCACATACACTGGTCAGAATACCTTTTTACAGTAGAGGCTCTTTTAAGAGACAGATATATTAAGCAAGTTTAAAAAAAAATAACATTAGCAAAACTTACTTCAGTAATCTTTACACATAGGTGGATGTTCTTGCTGAAAACCTGCAGGTTCTGCGAATGAATGTAGAGCACCGTGTACAGACATTCCTGCTGCCTGCAATTAATTTTGTGGATAGAGTTTAGATTTTTTAAATTCTTAAACATTATCATTTTTTTTCTCCGCAAAATCACAGATGTGAATGATCTCAGAGGCATCACAATGATTTGAAAATATTCAGCGTGCTGCACAATTCTCTGGACAGTGTCACAGGTTTGGGTCACTAATAAACAATAACCTGACCATACACTAGTAGAATTGCATTTGAAATTTTTTTGTTTTATTTTCTAATGGTTTATAAGGTCCAATTGACAGTCATTTTCAACTGCAGTGATGAGAAAAGTTAAAGGAATAAGATGTAAAATATTTGTCAAATGAATGGATATCTGTAAAATAAGTATTTTTTATATGTTCAAAAAAAGTAAACTTACAAACCTAGCAGAAAAGAAGTGTATGGACACACATCAACTCATTGCTTCAATATACTTCTAAGTAAAATAAGGGGCATTCGCCACAGCATACATAGAAAATAACACAGAATATTAATCTAGTAAACTAAAAATAATGTGCCTTTACTTATGCCAAGCACATGTCGTCAGAGGGGCCTATGCCAAGGCTCCCCCAAACCTCCAAAAAGAAAGGAAGCAATGAGCATAAAGAAAGAGAATGGAAAACAGAGTAGACGTTACAAGAAAAAAAAAGAAGCGAAGGGTAGGCGGGCTGAAAGACCCATTCCCCCTAGAAATAAAGCCAAAAGAAAAAAGTAAAAGACAAGTAAATGTTATGCCATACATTCTAACCCTAGATGACTGAATAAAGGAACATATTTCTAACAGTGAATGTAATTTTCATTTGGGAAAGGCCATTCACTTCAAAATTAAATCTTAAAAGTACAGTTTTTTTTAAATACCTTTGAATGAACTTCATCAGGTCATCAATTGCATTAATGAGAATTTTCATAAAAATGTTCATACAAATGTTTGTTGAAAAATCTACTAGTGTATGGCCAGCTGTAGTTTTTAAAGGGAACCTGTCTCATAAAAAGAAGCACTGAGGTATGCTGTGATATTCTAGCTGGAGAACACAGCACACCACTCGTGTATTTTTATTGTTCACTTTCATTCGTTATTTTCATTTAATTTAATGCTAAATCTACCCATTGCTAGCCATATAATGAAATGAGATTTATTAACTTTTTTTGTTAGTAGAAGGTGCCAAAGCACCAGAATTCCCTCTCGGGATAATACTGCAACTGCAGCATGAGTGAAAATGATCAAAGTCGTTTTTCTATTGCTTCAAAAGACCTGAATTAATATGCTTAGAAGTATGCTTGCTGGGCTGTTCACTTGTTCAGTAATACAGCATGGTTTCCTTGCTTTAATAAAATTTACCACGTGTAAAATGTACAAACATAACGGCAAGGGTTTAAATACATATGAATTCACTAATGCCGAGCACACTTCCCCATGCTTATATAGGGTATTACTAACTATACATCTTGTTGGGTAGGCAAACAGCTATTATAGAATTTTGTAAAGTGTTACTAAACCCAGGACCCTGCATTCACTATATCTGGTCTCCCACAGTACACTTGACATGGAAATTAAATTATTTTAGTAAATATAAACTGCTAAATACCTTTTCTTGTCAGTATATAGCAGTCTTGTGACTTCTATTAGCGTCCAGCTGAGCACTGGTTATAGCTTGTAGGATGAGTTCTGGCTTTCCTATCAGGCTGCATAACCCCTGACCCTCCATCTGGACAGTGCTGATTGGCCTTGTGTTGATCACATGCACCCTCCTAAAGAAAGAAAAAACTGTCTAGCAATACACACCAAACTGAACATGTGCAGCTTGCCCCCAAGGCTCTGTTCTATCAGCAGATGGATTGGGGACAGTAGAAGAAGGGGAGGATCAGAAAACAGTCTGTTTAGACCATGTGGAGGATTAACCCCTTAGATTCCATAGTGAGTATAACGAGCATGCTTTACTGCATATACAGACTGATTTTACTGTGTGGGTTTAGTAGCACTTTCAGTTATGTTTTTATTATAATTTAGAATTTTTTGCCATTGCAAATTTTCAGATCTTAGAAAGATGACATTATGAGGAGTTAAAATAATAAATATTGGCTTCTCATATTTAGTTGAACTTACTTTTATCACTGTACTTAAAAGAGAAGTGTGGACTTATTTTTTTCCTCAGTTATACTTACTTAGGTGGATGCAGCTTTGGTCTGATGCTGCATCCCTCCCCCACCGGCTCTAAGTGTGAGAACTCAGTGATCACATGACCGCTGATCGCTGAGTTCTCACAGCTGCTCTAAGCAGTGAGTGGTGACTGTCAGTCACCACTCTCTGCTCTGCCACCCCCCCAGAACTCACAAGAGCGCTGGGCTGCTGTGGAGGGGGGAGGGAGTAGCTGGCTCAGGCTCTCAGCATCCAAGTGCTGCTCCAGACTCTGGTGTGGATCCCGACTTTGAAGTTGGGATCTTTCCCCCAGCCTGGACCGAGTGATGTCAGCCGACAGGTGGCTTCAACCCACTGTTGGCTGAAAATGGGTCACAGGAGTGCAGTTGACAGTTGTCATTTGTTAAATGACTTAAACCTGCCCACTTTCCTTTCTCTAAACGCTTATAATAGCACAGTAAATCCTTCATAAAGCAGAAGGTATTCACATGTCTCATGCCCTCCCATATCCCAAAATAAGAGGATTCTTTCTTGTTCCAGGACAGTGGGTGTACTTTGCATGGCTCCACCCATTGTCCTGAAATGAGGAATAATCCTCATAGGCACTCATCATTCTGTAATTCAAGATAGGAATATTAATTCAGGTCTTTTGAAGCAATAGAAAAACGACTTTGATCATTTTCACTCATGCTGCAGTTGCAGTATTATCTCGAGAGGGAATTCTGGTGCTTTGGCCCTTCTACTAACAAAAAAAGTTAATAAATCTCATTTCATTATATGGCTAGCAATGGGTAGATTTAGCATTAAATTAAATGAAAATAACAAATGAAAGTGAACAATAAAAATACACGAGTGGTGTGCTGTGTTCTCCAGCTAGAATATCACAGCATACCTCAGTGCTTTTTTTTATGAGACAGGTTCCCGAGCTACACTTGGGAATACCGCCAGGGAGGCTACAGGCTAAATTCACCTTTAGTATCATGTTACACCCATACTCAGGGTGTAATATGTAACATGTTACTAAATCATCAGCCCTGTACCCTCAATTTCCCATTGTGACAGTCGGTGGGGAATCCTTTCCATGCACCTGCTGTCACAATTATAAAACAGCACGGCCGTGCAATGCTCTGCCCACATAGTCACATCATTCATTCACAAAGGTCTTGGAATGAATGCACTACAAGTACTGTCTTCCATCGTGGCAGACTGCTTGTAGTTCTCAGTGAACAATGGGGGCACCAGTGAGCACTCTTGTAGTACCTTTATTGTTCCTGCTCTTCAGTAACTGCCTGCCTGTATGGGAGGTACTGGCAGACAGCTGTACTGAGAGTCTGCCGGAGCCTGACATTTCACCCCCGATCTGCTGATTGCAAATGCAATGCTCTATAGCAGTGATGGCGAACCCGTGGCACGCGTGCCACAGCCGGCACGCGAGCCTTATCTGTGGGCACGCCAGGAGAATACCGAATTTTTCGCTCCATAAGACGCACTTTTTTTCCCCCAAAAAAGGGGGGAAAATGTCAGTGCGTCTTATGGAGCGAATATAGAGCGGCCGGTCCGGTATTTCCACGCCGCCGTGTCATAATACCGGGCCGGCCGCTCAGCTCTGCAGTGGGACCGTACCTGTCCCTCTATCCAGCGGCGCGCTGTCTTCCCGGCTTCTGTAGTGTGCGTGACAGCCGGGTCCCAAGTGCGCATGCGCAAGAAGCAGTGCTCTGTGAATGGTAAGGCGGTACCTGGGACACATGACAGATCCCAGAAGCCGCCGGACCAATCACAAAGCGCAGCGCTTCTCGCGCATGCGCACTAGGCATCCGGCTGTCCGACGAGCGCCCACACTACAGAAGCCGGGAAGATAGCGCGCGGCTGGATAAAGGAACAGGTAAGATAAAAAAAAAACTCTGCGGAAGTAAGAGCGGGTACCTGTCAAATTCAGGTACCCGCTCCCCCTCCCTCCCAAAGGTCAGCAGTCATCTGTACTGTCCGCAGTCTCTGGTCATCCCTCTGCTTTCCGCAGTCTCTGGTCATCTCCTGTACTGTCCGCAGTCTCTGGTCATCTCCTGTACTGTCCGCAGTCTCTGGTCATCTCCTGTACTGTCCGCAGTCTCTGGTCATCCCTGTACTGTCCGCAGTCTCTGGTCATCCCCTGTACTGTCCGCAGTCTCTGGTCATCTCCTGTACTGTGTCTGCAGTCTCTGGTCATCTCCTGTACTGTGTCCGCAGTCTCTGGTCATCTCCTGTACTGTGTCCGCAGTCTCTGGTCATCCCTGTACTGTGTCCGCAGTCTCTGGTCATCCCTGTACTGTGTCCGCAGTCTCTGGTCATCCCTGTACTGTGTCCGCAGTCTCTGGTCATCCCTGTACTGTGTCCGCAGTCTCTGGTCATCCCTGTACTGTGTCCGCAGTCTCTGGTCATCCCTGTACTGTGTCTGCAGTCTGCAGTCTCTGGTCATCCCTGTACTGTGTCCTGCAGTCTCTGGTCATCCCTGTACTGTGTCCGCAGTCTCTGGTCATCTCCTGTACCGTGTCCCGCAGTCTCTGGTCATCTCCTGTACCGTGTCCGCAGTCTCTGGTCATCCCTGTACCGTGTCCGCAGTGTCCTCCCTCCCCAAAGGTCAGCAGTCATCTGTACTGTCCGCAGTCTCTGGTCATCCCTCTGCTTTCCGCAGTCTCTGGTCATCTCCTGTACTGTCCGCAGTCTCTGGTCATCTCCTGTACTGTCCGCAGTCTCTGGTCATCTCCTGTACTGTCCGCAGTCTCTGGTCATCCCTGTACTGTCCGCAGTCTCTGGTCATCCCTGTACTGTCCGCAGTCTCTGGTCATCTCCTGTACTGTGTCTGCAGTCTCTGGTCATCTCCTGTACTGTGTCCGCAGTCTCTGGTCATCTCCTGTACTGTGTCCGCAGTCTCTGGTCATCCCTGTACTGTGTCCGCAGTCTCTGGTCATCCCTGTACTGTGTCCGCAGTCTCTGGTCATCCCTGTACTGTGTCCGCAGTCTCTGGTCATCCCTGTACTGTGTCCGCAGTCTCTGGTCATCCCTGTACTGTGTCCGCAGTCTCTGGTCATCCCCTGTACTGTGTCTCCTGCAGTCTCTGGTCATCCCTGTACTGTGTCTGCAGTCTCTGGTCATCCCTGTACCGTGTCCGCAGTCTCTGGTCATCTCCTGTACCGTGTCCGCAGTCTCTGGTCATCTCCTGTACTGTGTCCGCAGTCTCTGGTCATCCCTGTACTGTGTCCGCAGTCTCTGGTCATCTCCTGTACTGTGTCAGCAGTCTCTGGTCATCTCCTGTACCGTGTCCGCAGTCTCTGGTCATCCCTGTACCGTGTCCGCAGTCTCTGGTCATCCCTGTACCGTGTCCGCAGTCTCTGGTCATCCCTGTACCGTGTCCGCAGTCTCTGGTCATCCCTGTACTGTGTCTGCAGTCTCTGGTCATCCCTGTACTGTGTCCGCAGTCTCTGGTCATCCCTGTACTGTGTCCGCAGTCTCTGGTCATCCCTGTACTGTCTGCAGTCTTTGGTCATCCCTGTACTGTTAATTAGTTTGCACTACTGTACGAGTTGTTTTTTCTAAACCAAAAGCTCGATATTCAGGTTTCATTGCAGTGTTGGCACTTTGAAAGAAATAAGTTGGTTTTGGGTTGCAGTTTGGGCACTCGGGCTCAAAAAGGTTCGCCATCACTGCTCTATAGGCTCCTAAGAAAGAAATGATAAATGATTTTTTTTTAACTGCAAAAAAATGCTTTTTTTTTTTTTTTTTTTTAAAGTGAACTTATCCTTTAACTAATTCAAGTCCGGACACTTTTACCCCCTTCCTGTCCAGGACAACTTTCAGCTTTCAGTGCTATCACACTTTGAATGACAATTGCGTGGTCATGCAACACTATACCCATATGAATTTTTTAGCATTTTTCTGAGACAGATAAAACTTTATTTGGTGGTATTTATTCACCACTGGGATTTTTATTTTGTTTTGCTATATAAATGAAAAAGTCCCAAAATTTTGAAGAAAGTGTTTTTCTTATACAATTTTGCAAATAAATAATCTATCTTCATAAATCTTGGCCAAAATGTATTCAGCTATCTTTTTAGTAAAACAAATAACTCAAATTCGTTTATAACCAAAAATTATAATGTTTCTAAATTTTTGTTTACATTTTTATTTTATTTTTTATATTATTTTTTATGGTTTTTTTTAACATACTGTCACCCTTATTGTGGGGGGTGATGAGGAGTTTTATTTTTTACACTAATTGCTTTTACATCCATAAAGGCTGTAAAAGCATTAATTTTCTCCTTCTCTCTGGCTGCATTCTTGCAGCCATTGAGAATATTGTGAGAGCTGTGATTGGTTACAGCTTGTCACATGGTACAAGGTTGTTGTGAATAGCCTTGTACCATGTGACCTCTGTGATCATTCACAGATTTCACACGTAGTAAGCAATGCTGTCAGGAAGTGACATCTTGCTTACTACTATTCGCGTGATCACGGATTGGCAAATCAGGGATCACATGATCAGGACCTCACACAGAGGTCCTTTACAGCGATCGGTGTTCCGCTGTGTCCGGAGGACACAGCAGGTACTGGATTGCTGTGCTGCGTACTCCCAGGGAGTGCACACAGGCTGTAAATGCTGGCGCCGTTTATGAACGGCAACCTGCGCTCCTGCCGGCCGTTTATGTACATGGGACTGGAAGGGAAGTGGTTAAGTGAAACTTCATATAAAAATACTTGCAGGACTTTTATTCTCTGCATACCTTATTTTTATTTTCCTGCCCATTCTATTTCTGGTGGCCATTTTTACAAAGGGCAGATGAATCCAAATTCTCTCTTTACTTCTTGGAACTCTGCCTGGAACTCTTGGTCTGACTCCTGGAACATGTGACAAGATCTTCCCAGAATGCAGCTGTGAGGCCAGGGTTACACCACCAGTGCCTTACTCATTCCGTTAGTGGAAAAACAGTAATTCTTTATTTTTTATTTCAGGTACTTATATAGCGCCGTCAATTTTTGCAGTGCTTTACATATGTACTGTACATTCACATCAGTCATGTAATTATAAGTAAAAGTAAAAAATGTTTTAATGTAAGATGACCTCATATCAGCATGTCGAGTTGCATGCTGAATTGTGTTTTCGTAAAAGGGAGGAAAGATCCACTTTACCTGTTAACAAGTTAAAAATTCCTAAAAACGTCCGTGGACAGACTGCAACTGATGATTGGCATGGCTAGAAAAAAAACAGCTCATAAAAGTGTTACTCTCATTATTTGTATTATTTATAAAACTTATGATATTTGATAGCTAAGAACACAACACTGTGGTGGAATTCCCTTTTTATATATTCAGTGTGGTTGTTGTATTTTAGTTAACAGTTTATGACTCAATCCACTATACCCCCTCCTCCCACCACCAATCACTGGGTTAAAAAATGCTATCTAAATACCCTTTTTACTTACCTTAAGGCATAGTCACATGACACCACACTCCAGAGTCTTCTCCTCTGCTGTTTGCTTCCTTCTTGGGTCCTTCTTCAGGTGTCAACAGCAGTTGAATGTCCAGTTGTGGGGACCTCTCAATACAACATCATCACAGGGGGACAGTAACCAGCGATTCTAGACTCCATTCGCACTGCTAAATTTGTGGTCCCCAACACCCTGAACTGGCAGTGGCAAGAGACGTGGAAGGTGACTTAGGTGAGCTTTACAAAGTGATCATGGAAAAGTGCCTAGTAGGAAGGGTTAGTTGGGTTAGGAGGATGGAATGAGAAAAACTGTTTTTGTATGGAATGAGGCTTTATTGTAGAATTCCTGTATAAACCTAACTCATAAAAAAAGATCCCCCTCTTAACACCTATGCTGACTAACCTGTGTAAAAAAAGATATATACTTATCTATTTTCAGCCTGCTCCATTCCAGTCACATGACCCTGTGTCATCCAGTGGTGGCTGCAAGGTAGATGAGAGAGCACTCAACAATGTCTGTAATGCTTGGGAACAGTGATGCCACCCATAGGCTCCTATAGCCCAACTATTTTCAGTGCTCCCTCTTCTCCCCTGCAGCCGCCACTGGCTGACACAAGGATGCCAGAACACGTGACTTGAGTGGAGAGAAAATAAGTAAAGTATATATATTGTTGTTACACAGGTTAGTCAGCATAGGTGTTAGGAGGGGGAGGGAGCATTTATAAGGCTAGTCTAGGCTCAGTAAAGGGGGAAACATGTTAGAGGGAGAATCCTAGGTGGAGTGACTGTGTGCATGTCTTCAACAATAAAGTTGATATTCCATTTTGGAAGTGGTGTGTTGCTTCAGTACATTGCTAAATAGAAAAAAAACGTATTATACATATTAGAACAGTAACACATAAATAAAAAAATAGTTAAAACAAAAGAGCTGATTTACAAAAGAAGTAGAGATTGTTCACTTAGCAAACGAAATGGTCACTTGGTCTAATAAAGTCAGGCAAAGCTGTGTTCTCTTTCAATAACCAATCAAGTGTGAGGGAAATTAAAGAAAAAACTGGATTGTGTTCTTGCACATGATTTGTAGTAATTGTAGCATTACTCTCTATAATACGTTCAATGAACATTTACTTTGCTAAGTAAATCAACCCCATTGCATCTCTGTAGCTTGCTGGCATCTGCTGGTGATGTAATTGTATCTGAGCAGTTTACCTGAAGAAGATAGGTTTTCTGTTGTTCTTAACTAATTGGCCAACAGTTGCCACATCTGAAAAGCCACAGGCTGTGTTTTTACACCTTCCATTGGAGATTTCGGCACAAGATCTTATTTCATTTACCAACCCCCTCCAATAAAGGAGAGCCAGCCAGGGGATAGTACACTACTTCACAGTCTTTACTGCTGATGAATGTTTTAAAAAAAGAAAGAGTTATAACAAAATGTGGGAAAAGTTTATATAAAGTGGTATTAAAGTAAAAATTGCATTTTGTAAATCAGATAAAAATTACATAACTCACCTGCAATTTAATTTAGTTTTTTAATTTCCTTCTCAGAGCTTCCCTTTTTCAATTATACCCTAGTCATGTTGTTTTATATTCCCTTTCTCTTTGTGCCCACGGGACCTATGGAGTTCTGTGTGTGTATCTACAATAACTCCATTACCACTCTATACTAGAAGGCTATATGCAGCCATTCAGAGCAACGCACACATAGCCACCGCGAAGAATGTTTGGCCATTAACTATATGCAGCAATCTATTTTTTTATTAGAGGTATTTATATATTGATGACACATTTTGCAGCAATTTACAAACTCTACATTCACATCAGTGCCTACCCCAAGGAGCTTA